GACATTTCTTTTGGAGTTTATACATTTTTCGTAAGGGAAAATCAAGTCAGAAATTTTAAAGTGGAATTTACAAACTTCAGAAGCTTTTTTAAACCTCAGATACACTACAATTTTTAAATGTTCTGCGTTGCAGGAAAGTTCTCCTTTATGAGGTCATTTCCTCCTCCTCTTCCTGTCTACCTCTGTCTGATGAAGAGTCTAGCGGCGTCTGCTCACCTGGCAGCTCAGTGACCCAGACTGAAGGAACAACATGACAACTACACTGGCCTGCCATCACAGTCAGACTGGGCTACCAAGAAAGGAGCACAGCTCCACAAACACCACTCTAAATATAGTTGTGCCATTTATTTATAGTCATTTAATACTGGCATTGGGGCAGGCTGGGGCTCAATTGATATTCTGATCAACATGAAAGAGATACTCTCAATTAAACGTTTCTTGATGATTACTTTTTTTGTCATGAGTCTGTAGTTACAGATGCACAGTGTAAATCTGTGCTGGTATAGTAGTTCAGAACCACAATGTGTCAGGCAAACATCTAAGAACTGTTACACAGTGACTGGAGTGGAAACCTCATTTCTGTAACCTCATCACAGGAAGTTGGGGGTACCTTAATTGGGGAGGATGGGCTCGTGGTAATGGCTGGTGTGGAATAGGTGGACTGGTATAAAATACATTAAACACATAGTTTCCATGTGTTTGATGCCATTCCATTTGCTCTGTTCCAGCCATTATTATGAGCTGTCCTCCCTCAGCAGCCTCCACTGAATCTCATAACCCATGAAGTTCTGAAGAACTACTATGCATCCGCGCAGCAATGTCAGGCACAGTGATCTTTCTATTGTATCTTCTTGGAATTGACAGTGTTTTGCAGAAGTTGGTAAATGTAGCTTCTGCACTACCCAGCGCTAACATAACCTAACAGCACTACCATAAATGGATAAAAACATGCCCCATCAGTTTTAATGAGCGTCACACCTCTGACCATAAGACCACATCTCTTACCCCTGGCCATAGAAATGACTATTAAACATGCTCAATTCAACTCCGAAACCTCCTTATAATGACTGATGTATTTGTTGCACCAGCCCTGTTCTCAGTGAGCAAAATTATGTTGAAAATACATATTTTAAACATACACTACATGACCAAAAGCATGTGGACACCTGCTTGTCGAACATTCTAAAATCATGGGCATTAATATGAAGTTGGTCCCCCCTTTGCTTCAATAACAGCCTCCAGTCTTCTGGGAAGGCTTTCCAATGTTGGAACATTGCTGCGGGGTCTTACTTTCATTCAGCCACAAGAGCATTAGTGAGGTCGGGCACTGATGTTGGGCGATTAGGCCTGGCTCGCTGTCGTCATTCAAATTCATCCCTAAGGTGTTCGAAGGAGTTGAGGTCAGGGCTCTGTTCTTCCACACCGATCTCAACAAACAATTTCTGTATGGACCTCGCTTTGTGCATAGGGGCATTGTCATGCTGAAACAAGAAAGGGCCTTCCCCAAACTGTTGCCACAAAATTGGGATCACAGAATCGGCTAGAATGTCATTGTATGCTGTAGCGTTAAGATTTCCCTTCACTGGAACTAAAGGGCATAGCCCAAACCATGGAAAACAGCCCCAGACCATTATTCCTCCTCCACCAAACTTTACAGTTGGCACTATGCATTGGGGCTGGTAGCATTCTCCTGTCATCCGCCAAACCCAGATTCGTCCGTCGGACAGCCAGATGGTGAAGCGTGATTCATCACTCCAGAGATCGCATTTCCATTGCTCCAGAGTCCAGCTGACACCACTCCAGCTGACATTTGGGATTGTGCATGGTGATCTTAGGCTTGTGTGCGGCTGCTTGGCCATGGAAACCCATTTCATGAAGCTCCCGACTAACTGTTATTGTGCTGACGTTGCTTCCAGAGGCAGTTTGGAACTCAGTAGTGAGTGTTGCAACTGAGGACAGACCATTTTTACGCGCTACGCGCTTCAGCACTCGGCGGTCCCTTTCTGTGAGCTTGTGTGGCCTACCACTTCACGGCTGAGCCGTTGTTGCTCCAAGACATTTCCACTTCACAATAACAGCACTTACAGTTGACCGGGGCAGCTCTAGCAGGGCAGACATTTGATGAACTGACTTGTTGGAAAGGTGGCATCCTATGACAGTGCCACGTTGAAAGTCACTGAGCTCTTCATTAAGGCCATTCTACTGCCAATGTTTGTCTATGGAGATTGCATGGCTGTGTGCTCGATTTTATACACCTATCAGCAACGGGTGTGGCAGAAATAGCCGAATCCACTAATTTGAAGGGGTGTCCACATACTTTTGTATATATAGTGTATTTTCCAGACATTGAAATTAGGTTAATTTTCGGTTCTGAATGAAGTTGAAAATAATAATTTTATGGATGTTGAAAATACGTATTTTCTGGACATTGAAAAGACATCCAGAAGACGTCATTTACGGACATTGAAAATACGTCTTTTACGGATGTTGAAAATACATACTTTTTGGGCCTTTGTTCTATGGCCAAATTTCAACCGTTCATACATTCACTTATATCCACATGTGAATGAAGAAATCATTATCTCACATATTTTTTTAAATGTCCAATTAAAACAGGAAAATGGAGCAAACTGAAGATTGCAGTATGGAATATTTATTATTCCTCCCATCTGTCAGCTTTTGAAAAGTTTTAGAACTGGCAGTGATGATGTTAAAGGTTTTCAGACCAACAGAAAAAACAAACAGAACTCTTCAACTACAGTAACATTCTCAGTAAGTTTTTCTTTCTGTGACTGTGATATGTGGTTGTTTATCTACCTTAGTTGAATGCACTGACTGTAAGTCGCTCTGGATAAGAATGTCAGCTAAAAACCCAAAATGTAAATGTAAAAAGGAACACTTGCAAAGCATGCTGGATTTTATTCTAATTAACTCCCAAACAAGAACAAATTTGGTCGGTCCGTACCGGACGTCAATGTCTCATAAGTTTGGGCAGCACAGTACAGCACAATACAGTACAGTACATTAAAGCACAGTAGAGTTTAGTTTAGTACAGTAGAGTAGACTACAGTACAGTACAGTACAATTGATAACAGTAAAGTACAGTAAGGTCCAGTAGGGTACAGTACAGTTCAATATAGTACATTATACTGTTCTTTACTCTACTGTGCTCTACTGTACTGTATTGTACTGAATTATACTCTACTCTACTTTACATTACTGTACTACTGTACTGTAATGTACTTTTCTGTACTGTACTCTGCTGTGCTCTACTGTACTGTACTCTACTGTATGGTACTGAACTATACTTTACTCTACTTTACTGTACATTACTGTACTATACTCTACTGTACTCTACTGTACTCTACTGTACTGAACTATACTCTGCTTTACTGTACTGTACTGTACTGTACTGTACAAACTTGCGAAACATAGACATCTATAATCATAGCCTACTGGGCAAAAACTGGTTCAGTCAACGTTGTTTCCATGTCTATGTGATGTTGAATCAATGTGGAAAACTGATTGGATTTGAAATGTTGAAATTCACGTTAGTTGACAACTCAACCAAATGTAAATCAAAACTATGTTGAACTGACGTCTGTGCCCAGTGGGAGACCACTATATTCAGCCAAATCACGTCCGGTCCAGACCAAATCTGAACCATCATAGACGTCTATGTTTGGGCCAAATCTAGGCCGGTCCAAAAAACTACATCTGTGGACGTTGAAATCAAGGCCAGGGCGGACGGACCAAATTTCAAGGTCTTTTCAACGTCCATGGACATTGGCATGGATAGTGCTCACTGGGTTGTCGCTCATGTGCCTTCTCTTCCTGATTTATTGCTAATAGGCAGGATTTAAAGGCTCCTATAACCAAGCAGCTCAGTCGTGTGACCAGAAGGATGGCCATCTTTCAACCCCTAATTTGCCTCTTGACAGCAAATTACAGCCACATTAAATGGCTCCATGGTGTTGAGTAGTTAACGCTCTGGGCCTCCTGCCCTTTTCCTCTCTCTCTCCTTATTTCCCTCCACCTCTCTCTCGGATTGCACACGTCTTTACCTCAGTGAGCATGCTATATATCAGGGCTGTGAGTTGGCCCCAGTTCAGATAGGCTGTGATTGATTGGATCTGACTAAAGGGGGACAGTGTTTGTCAACTGATCTGAGGACACTTTGGCTCGGGGCCAAGAGCAGCACACAGGATTTACTTTTCCTTTCCTGAACTACATTGTACATGGTTGATTGTACTTCTTTATGTCTTCCTTCATTATATTTTTTGTGTGCTGTAATATTCAATCCATTATGAGCTCTGGGCTATGTAACTGGTATTCCTGAAGGATGAGTATTAGTGATAGTGCTCCAGCGTAAGTCTTTGCATCCTGTTGATGATGACTCACCCACAGCACATCAAACACAGTAGCATCCTGATTAAACCTCTCCTGGATTAAGCTGGGAAGGACCAAATTTAGACATCCCCCATAATTCAAATCAAATACTAAAATAGACCTTAATAAATCAATGGTTGGATGGGCTCTGGCTTGCAAGGAGAGAGAGTAATATAGAACACTTTCGAAGGTGTTTCGAAAGCTATTGCATATTGAAGTGATGCAGAACTGTCCAGTACAAACACAGACACCATAGTGTCCTGAGGCTCCGAACTCTGGCCTCTCCACTGACTCACTGAGTGGGCCTGATACTTCATGACCACCAACTAGACGGTTTGTCTGTCTGTCACCCAGTCTGTCCACCTCTCCCCTTCCCCACAGCCGTTGTAATGAGACACAGCTCAGAGAAACAGAGCCAGAGTCCACAGTAAATATTACGTCTCTCATTGATTCAACAGGGGAGCCAATCGAAACTTGTGAATTTTTTCATAGGGAAGGTGTTCCACATTTTACACAATTATTGTAATATCACACATATGTGTACTACTCATGTACCTAATAGTCGATTGTAAGAAATATAGCATGAACACTTTGACTACTTTCTTTCAGGTGCCTACCTGGTCCCATACTTCATCCTCCTCATCCTCATCGGCATCCCACTCTTCTTCCTGGAGCTGGCGGTGGGCCAGAAGATCCGTCGTGGGAGCATCGGGGTGTGGAACTATGTGTGCCCCCGCCTGGGCGGGATAGGGGTGTCCAGTCTAATGGTGAGTGACAGTGAGGATGGTGTCTTTGGTTTTAAGTTGCCTATTATATAATCTCTTGGTTGAAGTGGAGGCTGGAAATCAGTTTGTTAAGTGATCACACTCCAATCATCAGATTCTTGAAAGACGGGACAATCTCAACTTTTTTTCACGAATATTTTTCTTAATAATGAACAATATGTTAAATATATACAGTATTTTGATCAAATCAACGTTTATTGGTGCAGTACACATACAGTATTTGCAGACGTTATCGCAACACTTATGTAGGATCTTAATTTTAACCAGTTTGCTACAGCAGGAAAATAATAAATTATTATGTGGATTATAATTAATGACATTTTTTGTAAGGGTTGATACATTTTTCGTTAGGGCAAATCAAGTCTGACATTTTAAAGTGGAAATTACAAACTTTCGAAGCCTTTTTAAACCTTGAATACACTACAAGTTAGCATTTCCTGCTAGTGATGCGCTTGTTGACTCATAACCCGCAGTCCCCGCAGTTATATCCGCAGGGCGGACGGGTTTAGGGTCATTCAATATTGTGTGTATGAAGGGTGGCTGGGTGGCAGCTTGAATAAAGAGAAAACAACACCTTAAACAATCCATAAATGTATATTTCTTGTTCAGTTTATATCTATAGGCTACATTTAGGTTTTTCTTTCATTATTTTAGGCTATCTGGCATCAGAGCATAAGCCGAAGGTTTAACTGTATACGGGAGCCAAATAGCCTACACGCCAATCGCCAAATGCTTTTCGGAACGGGCAGAAAAAGTTAACATCCACAGAGGCAAAAAGGGCAATGTCAGAGTTGAATTCAATAAGACAAAAGCTGCAAAAGGAGAGTTGAGCCTCCAGAGTGGCGCAGCGGTCTAAGGCACTGCATCGCAATGCTAGAAGCGTCACTACAGACCCGGGTTTCATCCCGGGCTGTATCACAACCGGCCGTGATCGGGAGTCCCATAGGACGGCGCACAATTGGCCCCGTGTTGTCCGGGTTAGGGGAGGGTTTGGCCAGGGGGGCTTTACTTGGCTCATCGCACTCTAGCGACTCCTTGTGGCGGGCCGGGCACCTGCAGGCTGACCTAGGTCATCAGGTGAAAGGTGTTTTCTCCGACACATTGGTGCGGCTGGCTTCCGGGTTAAGTGGGCGGGTGTTAAGAAGCGCGGTTTGTCAGGTCAAGTTTCGGAGGATACATGACTCGACCTTCACCTCACGAGCCGGTTGGGGAGTTGCATTGATGAGACAAGATCAAAATTGGGGAGAAAAAGGGGATATAGAAAAAAAGAAGAAAAAAAGGAGAGTTGAAATTGAAGGGAGGGTCAGAAAAGTAATGTTTGGGAAAGATTTGGTGAAGTGGTGAAAGAGGATAAAAGCAGTGCCAGATATGTTATGTGTGATGATTGGGCTCTATACAAATCAGACAGTCACAAGACAGGGACTCCAATAGGCCTATGGAATGTCAAGGGAACTGCAGCCTACTGTTCAGATGGGTTAAATGGAAATTAAATCTGGACACTGACTGTAGGTCTATAGCCTCTCACATAGCCTTAATATTAACTCCTACAGAGTTAAGCATTTCTTGCAGTAAAATGCAGTAAAATGATACACCAAATGTATCATTTTTACTCGGGAACAGGAGTGGAGACATATGATTTATTTATTTCAGCATCTTGAGAGAATGCAAATGCTCAGTTAGATACCATCTGTAGAGGTGCTATCTTTATCAGCATCATAAAAGCTTATAGTATTTCAACCACATAAATATGCATCCAAGCCAAACTGAAATCTTATCAGAAACATGTTGGGACGTTTTCACAGCTATCTATTTCCTTACAACTGGTGAAACTGATATTATTTGGACATTTTGCACAGAAAATCGTTCAATTTTTTTTATAGTTATTGCATTTTCTCCCCGGTCCCTAAAAGTCTTTGCTCCACAAAAGAAGATGACAGAGAAAACTTTACCAATGTCAACTAGATTGAAGCATTAATTCTATCGATTTATTACATTATTCTGGTGAGCAAGGTTTTTTTTTTGTCTTCTAGGGCAGCATATAATGACAGAGGAGAAGCTGTATGTATCTAAATTATACACAAGTTGACTAATAAATAGCGTACCAAAATGTCGGAAATTATAAGCAGAAGCATATCTAAATCAGGCCCCAAAAAATCCTGCACCACCTCTCAAAAAATTGTAGCCTATAGCGCATTTTCTGTAGCCTATAGCGCATTTTCTATATTTGTGGGTTAGGGTCGGGTGTGGGCCTCAGATTTTCACTTAATCACATATAGTCGCGCGGTTGTGGATGGGTTATTAGCAATTGTGGGTGGGTGCTGGTGAACAAACAGCTGACAAATAGCACCACTATTTCCTGTGCAGGAACATTCTCAGCAACAAAAGAGTGATCAAATGAAGATCCTACATCTGTAGCTCTCACAGTGCAGTAATATCTAGCAATGCAATAACACTATACACATAATCCAAAAAGTAAAGAAATATCAGAACAAGCAATATCAGAACGAGCAATGTCAGAGTCCAGAAAATATACAGTACCAGTCAAACGTTTGGACACACCTACTCATTCAAGGGTTTTTCTATATTTTTACTATTTTCTACATTGTAGAATAATAGTGAAGACATCAAAACTATGAAATAACACATATGGAATCATGAGAACTGTTGTGCTGATTAAAGAAGCAATAAAACTGGCTTTCTTGAGACTAGTTGAGTATCTGGAGAATCAGCAACTGTGGGTTCGATTACAGGCTCAAAATGGCCAAAAACAAAGAACTTTCCTCTGAAACTCGTCAGTCTATTCTTGTTCTGAGAAATGAAGGCTATTCCATGCGAGAAATGGCCAAGAAATCTCGTACAATGCTGTGTACTACTCCCTTCACAGAACAGCGCAAACTGGCTCTAACCAGAATAGAAAGAGGAGTGTGAGGCCCCGGTGCACAACTGAGCAAGAGGACAAATACATTAGAGTGTGTAGTTTGAGAAACAGGCGCCTCACAGGTCCTCAACTGGCAGCTTCATTAAATAGTACCCGCAAAACACCAGTATCAACGTCAACAGTGAAGAGGCGACTCCGGGATGCTGACCTTCTAGGCAGAGTTGCAAAGAAAAAGCCATATCTCAGACTGGCCAATAAAAATAAAATATGAATATGGGCAGTCTGAGATATGGCTTTTTCTTTGCAACTCTGCCTAGAAGGTCAGCATCTCGGAGTCGCCTCTTCACTGTTGACGTTGAGACTGGTGTTTTGCGGGTACTATTTAATGAAGCTGCCAGTTGAGGATCTGTGAGGCGTCTGTTTCTCAAACTAGACACTTGCCTTGATGAAAGCTTTGCACACTCTTGGCAATCTCTCAACCAGCTTCATGAGGAATGCTTTTCCAACAGTCTTGAAGGAGTTCCCACATATGCTGAGCACTTGTTGGCTGCTTTTCCTTCACTCTGAGGTCCACCATCTCAATTGGATTGAGGTCGGGTGATTGTGGAGGCCAGGTCATCTGATGCAGCACTCCATCACTCTCCTTATTGGTCAAATAGCCCTTACACAGCCTGGAGGTGTGTTTTGGGTCATTGTCCTGTTGAAAGACAAATGAAAGTCCCACTGAGCACAAACCAGATGGGATGGCGTATCGCTGCAGAATGCTGTGCTAGCCATGCTGGTTAAGTGTGCCATGAATTCTAAATAAATCACAGACAGTGTCACCAGCAAAGCAGCCCCACATCATCACACCTCCTCGTCCATGCCTCACAGTGGGAACCACACATGCAGAGATAATCTGTTCACCTACTCTGCGGTTCACAAAGACACGGCGGTTGGAACCAAAAATGCAGCAATTCGACCATGGAGCCCTGATTCACACAGTCTCTTCTGAACAGTTGATGTTGAGATGTGTCTGTTACTTGAACTCTGTGAAGCATTTATTTGGGCTGCAATCTGAGGTGCAGTTAACTCTAATGAACTTATCCTCTGCAGTAGAGGTAACTCTGGGTCTTCCTTTCTTGTGGCGGTCCTCATGAGAGCCAGTTACATCATAGCGCTTGATGGTTTTTGCGACTGCACATGAAGAAACGTTCAAAGTTCTTGACATTTTCTGGATCTTTAAGTAATGATGGACTGTCGTTTCTCTATGCTTATTTGAGCTGTTTTTGCCATAATATCGACTTTTACCAAATAGGGCTATCTTCTGTATACCACCCCTACCTTGTCACAACACAACTGATTGGCACAAATTAACTTTTAACAAGGCACACCTGTTAATTGTAATGCATTCCAGGTGACTACCTCATGAAGCTGGTTGAGAGAATGCCAAGAGAGTGCAAAGCTGTCATCAAGGCAAAGGGTGGCTACTTTGAAGGATCTCAAATATAAAATATATTTGGATTTGTTGAACACTTTTTTGGTTACTACATGATTCCATATGTGTTATTTCATAGTTTTGATGTTCTCACTATTATTCTACAATGTATAAAATAGTACAAATAAAGAAAAACCCTTGAATGAGTAGGTGTGTCCAAAATTTTCACTGATGCTGTATATACAGTGCATTCGGAAAGTATTCAGACCCCTTGACTTTTTCCACGTTTTGTTACATTACAGCCTTATTCTAAAATGGATTAAATAATTTTTTTCACTCATCAATCTACACACAAAACCCCATAATGACAACGCGAAACCAGGTTTTTAGAAATGTTAGCAAATGTATTAAAAATAAAAAACAGAAATACCTTATTTACATAAGTATTCAAACCCTTATTGAGCTCAGGTGCATCCTGTTTCCATTGATCATCCTTGAGATGTTTCTACAATTTGATTGGAGTCCACCTGTAGTAAATTAAATTGATTGGACATGATTTGGAAAGGCACACACCTGTCTATATAAGGTCCCACAGTTGACAGTGCATGTCAGAGCAAAAACTAATCCATGAGGTCGAAGGAATTGTCAGTAGAGCTCCGAGGCAGGATTGTGTCGAGGCACAGATCTGGGGAAGGGTACCAAAACATTTCTGCAGCATTGAAAGTCCCCAAGAACACATTGGCCTCAATTATTCTTAAATGGAAGATGTTTGGAACCACCAAGACTCTTCCTAGAGCTGGCCTCCCATTCAAACTAAGCAAATGGGGGGAGAAGGGCCTTGGTCAGGGAGGTGACCAAGAACCCGATGGTCACTCTGACAGAGCTCCAGAGTTCCTCTGTGGAGATGGGGGAACCTTCCAGAAGGACAACCATCTCTGCAGCACTCCACCAATCAGGCCTTTATGGTAGAGTGGCCAGACGGAAGCCACTCCTCAGTAAAAGGCACATGACAGCCCGCTTGGAGTTTGCCAAAAGGCACCTAAAGACTTTCAGACCATGAGAAACAAGATTATCTGGTCTGATGAAACCAAGATGGAACTCTTTGGCCTGGATGCCAAGCGTCACGTCTGGAGGAAACCTGGTACCATCCCTACGGTGAAGCATGGTGGTGGCAGCATCATGCTGTGGGGATGTTTTTCAGCAGCAGGGACTGGGAGACTAATCAGGATCGAGGGAAAGATGAACGGAGCAAAGTACAGAGAGATCCTTGATGAAAACCTGCTGTAGAGCGCTCAGGACCTCAGACTGGGGAGAAGGTTCACCTTCCAACAGGACAACGACTCTAAGCACACAGCCAAGACAACGCAGGAGTGGCTTCGGGACAAGTCTCTGAATGTCATTGAGTGGCCCAGCCAGAGCCTGGGCTTGAACCTGATCGAACATCTCTGGAGAGACCTGAAAATAGCTGTGCAACGCTCCCCATCCAACCTGACAAAGAGGTTGAGAGGATCTGCAGCGAAGAATGGGAGAAACTCCACAAATACAGGTGTGCCCAGCTTGTAGCGTCATACCCAAGAAGACCTGAGGCTGTAATCGCTGCTTCAACAAAGTACTGAGTAAAGGGTTTGAATACTTATGTTAATGTGATTTTTCAGTTTTTTGTTTTTAATACATTTGCAAACATTTCTAACAGTTTTTTCTTTGTCATTATGGGGTATTGTGTGTAGATTGATGAGGGGGGAAAACCATTTAATCAATTTTAGAATAAGGCTGTAACGTACCAAAATGTGAAAGAAGTCAAGGGGTCTGAATACTTTCCGAATGCACTGTATGTCAACTCCGTCAGACACCATAAAAGGCATTTCTTTTTTACAATTATTGTCCAACAAGTTTTTAAAGGCCTTGAATGTTTAATTGATTGATTTTCTAGATTTAGAACATAAAACAATATTTATAAAGCAAACATTATCCCTCAGGCTTAGCACAGCAAATCCTTCAATTGTTTAAGCTTGTGTTGCAGAACAGTGATTCAAATATTTTTTCAGAATGTTGACAAGAACATACAAGTTAAATACAAACAATTCTAAACTTTGTAAAATTATTCATTTGAAAATCTCCAATAAAAACATAACCATTCTATTACAATTGTCAGCACTCTGACGGAGTTGAATGTTAGAATAAAATCTGACAGAGTTAATGTTTTACTGAGTTGTCAAAAATGGCATTTTTCTTCTTCATTTAAGTGGTATAAACAGTAGCAATTTTGTTTTCCTCAGTTGCTTTATGGAATGGAAATAGACCTTGTGTAAATCTGTTGATCTGGATTGTGTAATCGGGGGGTTAGGGTGTGAAAGAGAGACAACCCCCGTTGGAGTTGCACGTGACTGAGAGTAGCGTGGGAGAGGCAAGGGATGGCTAATTTTGACCTCTTAAGAGATCACAGTGAAAACGGATGAAAGAGTGCACTTTAATAAGTCATGGAGTTCCCGACCTTGTTTAGCTTCTGCCTGTCCTCGTTGACATGAAGGCTCAGAAGACGGTCAGGAACATGAGACAATAACATACTTCTCCTGCCTACAGTGGCTTGCGAAAGTATTCACCCCCCTTGGCATTTCACCTATTTTGTTGCCTTACAACCTGGAATTAAAATGGATTTTTGGGGGGTTTGTATAATTTGATTTACACAACATGCCTACCACTTTGAAGATGCAAAATATTTTTTCTTGTGATACAAACAAGAAATAAGACAAAAAAAACAGAAAACTTGAGCGTGCATAACTATTCACCCCCCCCCCCCCCCCCCCCCCCCCCCCCCCCCCCCCACCCCAAAGTCAATACTTTGTAGAGCCACCTTTTGCAGCAATTACAGCTGCAAGTCTCTTGGGGTATGTCTCTATAAGCTTGGCACATCCAGCCAGTGGGATTTTTGCCCATTCTTCAAGGCAAAACTGCTCCAGCTCCTTCAAGTTGGATGGGTTCCGCAGGTGTACAGCAATCTCTCAATTGGATTGAGGTCTGGGCTTTGACTAGGCCATTCCAAGACATTTAAATGTTTCCCCTTAAACCACTCAAGTGTTGCTTTAGCAGTATGCTTAGGGTCATTGTCCTGCTGGAAGGTGAACCTCCGTCCCAGTCTCAAATCTCAGGAAGACTGAAACAGGTTTCCCTCAAGAATTTCCCTGTATTTAGCGCCATCCATCATTCCTTCAATGCTGACCAGTCCCTGCCGATGAAAAACATCCCCACAGCATGATGCTGCCACCATGCTTCACTGTGGGGATGGTCTTCTCAGGTGATGAGTGGTGTTGGGTTTGCGCCAGACATAGCGTTTTCCATGATGGCCAAAAAGCTAAATTTTAGTCTCATCTGACCAGAGTACCTTCTTCCATATGTTTAAGGAGTCTCACACATGCCTTTTGGCGAACACCAAATGGTTTGCTTATTTTTTTCTTTAAGCAATGGCTTTTTTCTGGCCACTCTTCCGTAAATCCCAGCTCTGTGTAGTGTACGGCTTAAAGTGGTCCTATGGACAGATACTCCAATCTCCGCTGTGGAGCTTTGCAGCTCCTTCAGGGTTATCTTTGGTCTCTTTGTTGCCTCTCTGATTAATACCCTCCTTGCCTGGTCCGTGAGTTTTGGTGGGCGGCCCACTCTTGGCAGGTTTGTTGTGGTGCCATATTCTTTCAATTTTTTAACAATGGATTTAATGGTGCTCCATGGGATGTTCAATGTTTCTGATCTTTTTTTATAACCCAACCCTGATCTGTACTTCTCCACAACTTTGTCCCTGACCTGTTTGGGGAGCTCCTTGGTCTTCATGGTGCCAATGCTTGGTGGTGCCCCTTGCTTAGTGGTGTTGCAGACTCTGGGGCCTTTCAGAACAGGTGTATATATACTGAGATCATGTGACAGATCATGTGACACTTAGATTGCACACAGGTGGACTTTATTTAACTAAATATGTGACTTTTGAAGGTAATTGGTTGCACCAGATCTTATTTAGGGGCTTCATAGCAAAGGGCCTGAATACATATGCACACACCACTTTTTTGTTATTTATTTTGTATAATTTTTTGAAACAAGTTATTTTTTTCATTTCACTTCACCAATTTGGACTATTTTGTGTATGTCCATTAGATGAAATCCAAATAAATATCAATTTAAATTACAGGTTGTAATGCAACAAAATAGGAAAAACGCCAAGGAGGATGAATACTCCATCTGAATGAGAAAGATATTGACATTGCCTCTTAGTAGTGTATATGTATGAACATTCACACACACACACTCTGCCATTTGACTGAAAGTGTGGCATCAACTAGCAGTGAGATGGACTCGTGCTGAGGAGCACCTCAGTTCCAATGGACTTTCTTACTCGAACAGACTCTGCCTCTCCTCCATTCCAGGTGTGTGGCTTTGTGGGGCTCTACTACAATGTCATCATCGGCTGGAGCATATTCTACTTCTTCCAGTCCTTCCAGTACCCACTGCCATGGGCCGAATGCCCTATCAGGAGGAATGGATCATTAGCAAGTGAGTGGATGCCAGATCTGAATAGAGGGACAGAGGAGAGATGCAGAAGGCACAGAAAAGTCATATAACGCAGCAGGGTGGCCATGACCAATGTGGTTTGTCACACTTTGTCACACAAACTAGAAAGGCTTCAATGGATTTTGAATCCATTCTCCTTTTTTAATAAGGCCTGTATTTGATTACTCAGATATTACTCATTTCCAACGGGTTATACACACTCATTTTGCCCTGTAGAATAAGAATGAATCCATACTTGCACGATCATTTTTGATCAGTCTGAGAGAAACACATTTGTGTTTCGTAGTTCAATCTCCCAGTTCAATCCAGTGTCGACCAGGGCAGGCGCTGAATCACACATCTAACTCGATCAGCTGATGGTGTTAGTTTACTTACGAGACTCCTTCATGACTCAGATGGAGATACTCCAGATTAAAGTCCTCTGAGGCTCTATTAGATTAGAAGTGGTGATAATAAAATCACTCAGCGCCTGACCTCTCTTCTCTTTTCATCTCCTTTCCTCTCTTCTCGTCTCCTCTCCTCTCCTCCGCCCCTCACATGTCACAGCAGTATGAGACAGTCAGCCACCAGTGAGCATGGAGGAGAGCAGCTGCAGCTGGTCAGATAGTTCTGCTCCAACAGAAGGGTTCTTACACTGAGAGACAGAGGCATAAGGCATGGTGTAGCAAGTCATCATGTTATTGTGTAATCATACAGTACTTCACACAAATGCTAGTATTGTATGTGATTCCCCATAGGTTTAATTGTACATTACTGCTAATGGTGGTTTACTACACCGTGCCAGGTAACCTCCTACACTACAGTATAGTGGTAAATGAGGTTTTCCACAGTGGCATTACAGGTTGTCTGTAGCATTGTCTTTAATCCTGTGTTAAAAAGTGACCTCTCGCCATGGTCATAGTGAACGGTAGACCCCATAATTCATGCAGGGTTGTGGGACCCCAGGACCACACTGCTTTGCACCCACTCTGGCCTGGCCCCATGGTTACATGTCTGCACTAACAACATCATATAGACTGTGGTTCACATTGGCACCGATCAGCTAAAGAACACAGAGACCAAGGTCATTCAGACCTACTGTAGCTTTCACTTTTAATACAGTTCGGTCATGCTGGAGCGACATGTAGGAGAGGAGGGAGATGGGAGAGATAAGGGAGGGAGAGAGAGAGGGGCACAGATAGACAGAGTTACTGCATATAAGCTTGAATGCAATCACTCATAGAGAGAGGAAGCAAGAGAGGATAAAAAGAGAATTATGGAGGCCATCTTGATTTCCTCTGCTGAACATTGCCATCTACTTGACATAAATAGAGACTGGTACACTTAGTTGAGCTGGCCATTTCTGTGCGTGCATGCATGTGTGTCCATGTGTGTGTATTTCTGCAGTACATCTGTAAGAATGCTTTCTCCAGACTTAGATCCATGTATATTTTACCCAAGGTTGAACTATTAAAGGTGAAAATATGAGAGTCCTGAATGAGTGCTCACACTGTGCATGCCAAGTACAAGGATGACTTTGTTTACCCAGGCTGGTCTCATAGACTAAACATAACATAGTAAATGAAAATCCGGGACACTCAAATTAGTATGATATGTTACGTTTAGGATGGTTACATAAGACAGAGGTTACTTAAGGAAAAAATGAAAGGAGGGTGGTTGGTCAGGGTGGATGGGTAGGCGTATAACGCTAATGTCTAGCAAACCAAAGGTTGTGTCTTCGAATCTCATCTTGGACAACTTTACCATTTTAGCTAATTAGCAAATTTGCAACTACTGACTACTTTTTAGCTACTTTGCAACTACTTAGCATGTTAACTAAGCCTAACCCTAACTCTTAACCCTTTAACCTAACTCTTAGCCTTAACCCTAAACTTAACCCCTAACCAATAGCCTAGCTAACGTTAGCCACCTAGCTAACATTAGCATTAGCCACCTAGCCACCTAGCCATCCAGCTAACGTTAGCCACAACAAATTGAAATTCATAACATATCATATGAATTGCAAATTTGTAACATATTGTACGAATTGCAATACGTAACATATCATACGAATTGTAATTTGTAACATATCATACGAAATGGATGATGGGCATCCACAAATTAATACATACCATACCAAACGTAACATATCATACTAATTGGAGTGTCCCAGATCTTCGTTTACTATGTTACGTCTACCCCTGACTCCAGGTTGGTTTACCTTACTAATGTCAGTCTGGGAGAGCCAATCCAGAGGGGGGAGGGGATTTGGTCCCTGTGTAAATATTCTATCCCTTATTATATTTATCTTGTTCTCTATCTTCCGCCCTTCTACTCCCCCTTTACTCTCCCTATCTCATACCTCCCTCCCCTTTCTCTCCCTCTCTTTCATTCTCTCTGACCTCCCTCCCTTTTCACCAACACTCTTCTCACCCTCCCTCTCTCTCTCCCTCCCCCCTCACTGACCACCCTCCTCCCCCTCACCCCTCTGCAGTCGTGGAGCCTGAGTGTGAGAAAAGCTCGGCCACCACCTACTTTTGGTACCGCCAGACCCTGAATACCACCAGCACCATCGCAGATAGCGGCGGCCTGAACGTCAAGATGACCCTGTCTCTGCTGGTGGCCTGGATCATCGTCTGCCTGGCTGTCATCAGAGGTATCGCGTCCTCCGGGAAGGTAGGGAGCACTGTGGGGAGAAAGTGGAGGGTTTGTGGGGAAGAGGGGCAAGGAGGATGGGGGAGAGGGGCAGGGGGTGTGGGGGAAAGGGAAACTGGGTGTGGGGAGAGGGGCAGGGGACGTGGGGGAGAGGGGTGTGGGGGAGAGGGGCAGGATGCCTGGGGAGACGGGCAGGGGGCATGGGGGAAGAGTCAAAAGAGTGTAGGGAAAATATATGACAGGTCCACACTTTTTAAAGAACATGACATGACTAAAAATTGCACAACTGAACTGGAGTTCTACTGAACTGGAGTGCTGCTGAACTGGTGTCCTTCCTTCCTCTGGCATGGATGGTGTAGCTATAATACAGAACGTGTGACTGAATGTTGTTTCCTGTGGTCTGACAGGTGATGTACTTCAGCTCTCTGTTCCCCTACGTGGTGCTCTTCTGTTTCCTGGTGAGAGGTTTGCTGTTGAAGGGCGCTGTGGATGGCATCGCACACATGTTCACTCCCAAGGTGAGATTCAGAGAAGGCCGTTATACACATGCGCACACGCATGCATGCACAGAGAAGCTTCCATTGCAGTTGCATGCTGTCATTTATGGGAAAAGCCAGTGGTAAGACAGCTACTACCCCTATATAATTTATAAACATTTCTAATAATTAAAACCAACCAGTCAGTCAATGTGTTATTGTGTGTTCAAGCTGGAGAAGATGCTGGAGCCCCAGGTTTGGAGGGAGGCAGCCACACAGGTGTTTTTTGCCCTTGGCCTGGGCTTCGGTGGAGTCATCGCCTTCTCCAGCTACAACAAGATAGACAACAACTGCCACTTTGACGCCGTGCTCGTCTCCTTTATCAACTTTGTCACCTCCATCCTGGCTACTCTGGTGGTGTTCGCTGTGCTGGGCTTCAAGGCAAACCTTATGAACGAGAAGTGTGTCATAGAGTGAGTTCAAATCAACTGCCCTATCGGCCATCTAGTAGGGGAGAGTGGGGTAAGTTGAGCCAAAGGGGTAAGTTGAGCCAGCCTTGTTTCTAGGAAACCATACATAAAATTAATCATGTGACCAAATATTTTGGAGGTCATCATTTCATGGAGTCTGTGAATGAAGAAACCACATGGAAAAAGTTAGGTCCAAGAAACTGAAAACTGATTTTCACAAAGTCAAATTAATGTATTGTGTTCTAAGTTTCATGATGCTTTTATCTAAACCAAAGTAGATCATTTTAAGATTGTTTTATACATCAGTTGGGGTCTTTATAAGCTACAATATGAGGTCCTAAACCTAGCATGAAAGTGCATCCCTGTAGATGTGTGAGTTAATATAGTCCAAATGTTTGCATTGGGGTAAGTTGAGCCAATGGCCACCATACCCCATACAAACAATGATTACATATTGTCCGTTTTATACATAAAACTGATATTATTTTTGCAATGTGTCATGCGTATGAACTCAAGTGCATGTTTATTGTTACAGACAAGACATCATCATGCCCTGTGCATACAGACATAAAAAGGGCAGGGGTCTAGCCCCCCTTGAGGTTCTTGAGAGAGCAGCCAAGGAAGTGAGAGAAAGGAAGAAGTCCATTCGAGCAGGAGCAAGGGATGAAAAAATAGACTGAATGACACCGAAGAGGTACATTGACAAAAAAGAAAACGATACCTGTACCTATGCAAAAGAGTGGCTATGATAGAGTAGCAGAAGCACACAAAGTATTATCTGATGACATGGAGTCTGAGCTTGCTAAACATATCAAGAATCTTGCAGACCAGTTTCATGGGCTTAGTAGCCTCAAATGCAGAGAACTTACCTACGAATTGGCACATCCAAACAATATCCCTGTCCCAGGCAAGTGGTCAATAAATGGAAGGGTAAGTGATATTGAACAGAGAATCTATGCATTTAAGTTATTCAATATACCATACCCCCCCCATTCCTTGAATTAAACTTTGACCTACCAGAACCATCACCCACTGTCACAGGACACCATCACCCACTTACCCCAAGTCTGCTCAACTTACCCTGTCCCTATGCTCAATTTACCCAATACCCGGGATAGATTCTGCCAAGAGACCACTTTTTTTGGACAAGCTATGTTTTCAAAACTGTTATGTTTACATTAATTCTGATTATTTCCAGGGATACACAACATCCTAAAATATATGTAGGTATCTCGGTTAGAAAGAAAACTATATTTCCTTTGACGGAGTGATGCTGAATGTAAAAAATGGCTCAATTTACCCCATTCTCCCCTAGTGATAGTGGAGGGAATTTAAGCTGTCTAATCCAGAATGAAACGACTCTTTGCTCACGCCATACATTTTTTATCATGCCCTCTCTGTGATCAGAGTCAGGACTTTTGCAGTACGTTTCATCTTGTGCTCTAACATGTTTCCCTGTGGTGTCTTCAGGAATGCAGAGAAGATCCTTGGCTACCTGAACTCTAACGTGCTGAGTCATGACCTCATTCCGCCACACGTCAACTTCTCCCAGCTGTCCACCGTAGATTACGCTGAGATATACGGCGTCATCAAGACTGTGAAGGAGGGCAGCTTCGCCGAGCTGGGCCTGGACCCCTGTGTCCTGGAGGATGAGCTCAACAAGGTACAGTGGGTCTGTTTGTCTGGGCTTTGAGCTCTACATCACCGAAACTGGATCTGTATATAATCCATCTTCACAACACCAAACCAATTAGGCTTTTTCTAGTCATCCTTATAAATAAAATAAAATAAAATTGTATTTGTCACATGCGCCGAATAGAACAGATGTAGACCTTACAGTGAAATGCTTACAAGCCCTTAACAGCAGTTTTAAGAAAAATAAGTAAAAAATAAAATAACAAATACAAAGAAATAACAAATAATTAAAGAGCAGCAGTAAAATAACAGTAGCTAGGCTATATACAGGGGGTACCGCTACAGAGTCAATGTGCGGGGGCACAGGTTAGCCGAGGTAATTGAGGTAATATGTACATGTACGTAGAGTTAAAGTGACTATGCATAGATAATAAACAGAGAGTAGCAGCAGCGTCCGGGTAGCCATTTGATTAGTTGTTCAGGAGTCTTATGGCTTGGGGGTAGAAGCTGTTAAGAAGCCTTTTGGACCTAGACTTGGCGCTCCGGTACCGCTTACTGTGCGGTAGCAGAGAGAACAGTCTATGACTAGGGTGGCTGGAGTTTGACCATTTGTAGGGCCTTCCTCTTACACCGCCTGGTATATAGGTCCTGGATGGCAGGAAGCTTGGCCCCAGTGATGTACTGGGCCGTACGCACTGCCCTCTGTAGTGCCTTGCGGTCGGAGGCCGAGCAGTTGCCATACCAAGCACTGATGAAACCAGTCATGATGCTCTCGATGGTGCAGCTGTAGAACTTTTTGAGGATCTGAGGACCCATGCCAAATCTTTTCAGTCTCCTGAGGGGGAATAGGCTTTGTCGTGCCCTCTTTATGACTGTCTTGGTGTGTTTGGACCATGATAGTTTGTTGGTGATGTGGACACCAAGGAACTTGAAGCTCTCAACCTGCTCCACTACAGCCCCGTCGATGAGAATGGGGGCGTGCTCGGTCCTCCTTTTCCTGTAGTCCACAATCATCTTCTTTCTCTTGATCACGTTGAGGGAGGGGTTGTTATCCTGGCACCACACGGCCAGGTCTCTGACCTCCTCCCTATAGGCTGTCTCATCGTTGTCGGTGATCAGGCCTACCACTGTTGTGTCGTCGGCAAACTTAATGATGGTGTTGGGGTCGTGCCTGGCCATGCAGTCATTGGTGAACAGGGAGTACTGGAGGGGACTGAGCACATACCCCTGAAGGGCCCCTGTGTTGAGGATCAGCGTGGCAGATGTGTTGTTACCTACCCTTACCACCTGGGGCGGCCCGTCAGGAAGTCCAGGATCTAGTTGTAGAGAGAGGTGTTTAGTACCAGGGTCCTTAGCTTAGTGATGAGCTTTGAGGGCACTATGGTGTTGAACGCTGAGCTGTAGTCAATGAATAGCATTCTCACGTAGGTGTTCCTTTTGTCAAGGTGGGAAAGGGCAGTGTGGAGTGCAATAGAGATTGCATCATCTGTGGATCTGTTGAGGCGATATGCAAATTGGAGTGAGTCTACAATTTCTGGGATAATGGTGTTGATCTGAGCCATGACCAGCATTTCAAAGCACTTCATGGCTACAGACGTGAGTGCTACGGGTCTGTAGTCATTTAGGCAGGTTACCTTAGTGTTGTTGGGCACAGGGACTATGGTGGTCTGCTTGAAACATGTTGGTATTACAGACTCAGTCAAGGACAGGTTGAAAATGTCAGTGAAGACACTTGCCAGTTGGTCAGCGCATGCTCGGAGTACACGTCCTGGTAATCCGCCTGGCCCTGCAGCTTTGTGAATGTTGACCTGTTTGAAGGTCTTACTCACATCAGCTATGGAGAGCGTGATCACACAGTCGTCCAGAACAGCTGATGCTCTCATGTATGCTTCAGTGTTGCTTGCCTCGAAGCGAGCATAGAAGTAATTTAGCTCGTCTAGTAGGTTTGTGTCACTGGGCAGCTCGCGGCTGTGCTTCCCTTTGTGGTCTGTAATAGTTTGCAGGCCCTGCCACATCCGATGCGCGTTGGAGCCGGTGTTGTACGATTCAATCTTAGTCCTGTATTGACGCTTTGCCTGTTTAATGGTTCGTCGAAGGGCATAGCGGGATTTCTTATAAGCGTCCGGGTTAGAGTCCCTCTCCCTGAAAGCGGCAGCTCTACCCTTTAGCTCAGTGTGGATGTTGCCTGTAATCAATGGCTTCTGGTTGGGGTATGTACGTACGGTCACTGTGGGGATGACGTCATCGATGCACTTATTGATGAAGCCAGTGACTGATGTGGTGTACTCCTTAATGCCATCCGAAGAATCCCGAAACATATTCCAGTCTGTGCTAGCAAAACAGTCCTGTAGCTTAGCATCTGCATCATCTGACCACTTCTTTATTGACCGAGTCACTGGTGCTTCCTGCTTTAGTTTTAACTAAACTCCTTCTTGGCTCTTCTGTACCCTCTCCCTCTCTCTATCACAATATCTTGGTCTTCTTTTGCTCCCTCTCTCCTTCACTCTTTTTTTCTCTTTCTCTCTCTATCCATCCCTCTCTCTCTGCAGTCAGTGCAGGGTACAGGATTGGCCTTCATTGCCTTCACAGAGGCCATGACTCATTTCCCGGCCTCTCCCTTCTGGTCCGTCATGTTCTTCTTCATGCTCATCAACCTGGGCCTGGGCAGTATGATCGGCACCATGACAGGCATCACCACGCCCGTCCTTGACACCTACAAGGTCCAGAAGGAGCTCTTCACAGGTCAGCCCTAAAATCCACTGTGGCTCTACCATTCTCCTCTATCATAGTTTATTACACAAATTCAGCACTTTTCACCAAGACAGAGTGGGGAACTAGGTAAGACTCACAAATTCTGAGATTTTTAAGGATGACTGCTTTTTTATACTATTGTTGTAGTCCTTTCAGGGCTGATTACAAAGTAATAGCAATAAAAGCAATGTTGCATACATACACTACCAGTCCAAAGTTTGGACACACCTACTCATTCAAGGGATTTTCTTTATTTTTACTATTTTCTACATTGTAGAATAATAGTGAAGACATCAAAACTATGAAATAATACATATGGAATCAGGTATTAACCAAAAAAGTGTTAAACAAATCAAAATATATTTTAGATTCTTTAAAGTAGCCACCCTTTGCCTTGATGACAGCTTTGCACACTCTTGGCATTCTCTCAACCACTACATATCTACAATACAAAATGTATAATCAGTGGTGGAAAAAGTACCCAATTGTCATACTTTAGTAAAAGTAAAGATACCTTAATAGAAAATGACAAGTACAGTGGGGAAAAAAAGTATTTAGTCAGCCACCAATTGTGCAAGTTCTCCCACTTAAAAAGATGAGAGAGGCCTGTAATTTTCATCATAGGTACACGTCAACTATGACAAACAAAATTAGATTTTTTTTCTCCAGAAAATCACATTGTAGGATTTTTTATGAATTTATTTGCAAATTATGGTGGAAAATAAGTATTTGGTCACCTACAAACAAGCAAGATTTCTGGCTCTCACAGACCTGTAACTTCTTCTTTAAGAGGCTCCTCTGTCCTCCACTCGTTACCTGTATTAATGGCACCTGTTTTAACTTGTTATCAGTATAAAATACACCTGTCCACAACCTCAAACAGTCACACTCCAAACTCCACTATGGCCAAGACCAAAGAGCTGTCAAAGGACACCAGAAAAAAAATTGTAGACCTGCACCAGGCTGGGAAGACTGAATCTGCATAGGTAAGCAGCTTGGTTTGAAGAAATCAACTGTGGGAGCAGTTATTAGGAAATGGAAGACATACAAGACCACTGATAATCTCCCTCGATCTGGGGCTCCACGCAAGATCTCACCCTGTGGGGTCAAAATGATCACAAGAACGGTGAGCAAAAATCCCAGAACCACAAGGGGGGACCTAGTGAATGACCTGCAGAGAGCTGGGACCAAAGTAACAAAGCCTATCATCAGTAACACACTACGCCGCCAGGGACTCAAATCCTGCAGTGCCAGACGTGTCCCCCTGCTTAAGCCAGTACATGTCCAGGCCCGTCTGAAGTTTGCTAGAGTGCATTTGGATGATCCAGAAGAGGATTGGGAGAATGTCATATGGTCAGATGAAACCAAAATAGAACTTTTTGGTAAAAACTCAACTCGTCGTGTTTGGAGGACAAAGAATGCTGAGTTGCATCCAAAGAACACCATACCTACTGTGAAGCATGGGGGTGGAAACATCATGCTTTGGGGCTGTTTTTCTGCAAAGGGACCAGGACGACTGATCCGTGCAAAGGAAAGAATGAATGGGGCCATGTATCGTGAGATTTTGAGTGAAAACCTCCTTCCATCAGCAAGGGCATTGAAGATGAAACGTGGCTGGGTCTTTCAGCATGACAATGATCCCAAACACACCGCCCGGGCAACGAAGGAGTGGCTTCGTAAGAAGCATTTCAAGGTCCTGGAGTGGCCTAGCCAGTCTCCAGATCTCAACTCCATAGAACATCTTTGGAGGGAGTTGAAAGTCTGTGTTGCCCAGCGACAGCCCCAAAACATCACTGCTCTAGAGGAGATCTGCACGGAGGAATGGGCCAAAATACCAGCAACAGTGTGTGAAAACCTTGTGAAGACTTACAGAAAACGTTTGACCTGTGTCATTGCCAACAAAGGGTATATAACAAAGTATTGAGAAACTTTTGTTATTGACCAAATACTTATTTTCCACCATAATTTGCAAATAAATTCATAAAAAATCCTACAATGTGATTTTCTGGAGAAAAAAAATCTAATTTTGTTTGTCATAGTTGACGTGTACCTATGATGAAAATTACAGGCCTCTCTCATCTTTTTAAGTGGGAGAACTTGCACAATTGGTGGCTGACTAAATACTTTTTTTCCCCACTGTAAAAGTGAAAGTCACCCAGTAAAATACTACTTGAGTAAAAGTCTAAAAGTACTTGGTTTTAAATATTCTTAAGTATCAAAAGTAAATGTAATTGCTAAAATATACTTAAGTATCACAAGTAAAAGTATGAATAATTTCTAATTCCTTATATTAAGCAAAACAGATGGCACCATTTTCTTGTTTTTTTAATTTACGGATAGCCAGGGGCACACTCTGACACTCAGACATCATTTACGAATGAAACATGTGTGAGTCCGCCAGATCAGAGGCAGTAGGGATGACCAGGGATGTTCTCTTGATAAGTGCGTGAATTGGAAAAATGTTCTTTCCAACTAAGCATTCAAAATGTAATGAGTACTTTTGGGTGTCAGGGAAAATGTATGGAATAAAAAGTACATTATTTTCTTTAGGAATGTAGTGAAGTAAAAGTAAAAGTTGTCAGAAATATAAATAGTAAAGTAAAGTACAGATACCCCCAAAAAACTACTTAAGTAGTACTTTGAAGTATTTTTACTTACAGTAAGTACTTTACACCACTGTGTATAATACCACAATACAACAATATTACAACATTACAATGTGCGTGTGTGTGCCTGTGTGTGTGTCTTTTCATAGTCTGTGTTGTTCCATAAAGTGTCGTTTTATCTGTTTATCTATTTTCAGTGTGCTGCTGCATCATAGCATTTTTCTGTGGCCTGCTCTTCGTCCAGCGCTCTGGGAACTACTTTGTCACCATGTTTGATGACTACTCCGCTGGTCTGCCACTCACTGTCGTGGTCATCCTAGAGAATGTGTCAGTGGCCTGGATCTACGGCACCAAGAGGTACAGGATGGCGTCTCCTCAGAGAGCCCTATAGTGTCAGAGGTAGCTTTGTAAAGTGAACACACTGATCATCACTGATATTGCAATGTGTGTTTTTATATGAATTAAGAGGAAAGTTGGATAAGAGGATGAAGATTGAGAAAGAGTCAAGGAAAATGTGAATACTGTAAACTGTAAACTGAAGGAGTTGGCTGGACCTATTTTAAACCCACCTGTATGTGTGTGTCAGGTTTATGCAGGACCTGGAGGACATGTTGGGTTTCCGGCCCAATGCCTTCTATTTCTACATGTGGAAGTACGTCTCCCCTTGTTGTCTCATCGTTCTCATTATGGCTACTGTCATCGAGATGGCCATCAGCCCGCCAGGGTACAATGCATGGGTGGAGGAACTGGTCAGTCAGCCTGTTGGAAAACAGTCAAAAGTTTCATATAGACACTTGACATTTTGTGTACTAGCCTTATTACAGAGTTTGCAGTCAGCACCAGGAGTATTTCTTTTTCACCTTATGTCCCTTGTTTCTCTCTCTATAGGCTCAGGAGCGTTTCCAGAGCTACCCTCCCTGGGCATTGGCCATGTGCTTCTCCCTCATCGTGGTGGCCATGCTTCCTCTCCCCATCGTCTTCATCGCCCGCCACTTCAACCTGATGTCTGACGGCTCCAACAAGCTGTCCGTCTCCTACCGCAAGAGCATGATGAAGGACATCTCCAACCTGGAGGTGGACGAGACACGCTTCATCCTGGGCAAGAACCCAGGAGAGACACCTTCGCCCAAGTCCCCGTTCCAAGCCTACCTGGTCCCCCCAGGCACCAAACCCCTGGAAAACCCCAACTCCCTGTCAGCCAACAGCTGCTACGGGACGGGCTTGCAGAACACCATCAGCCCCACAACCCCCACCACCCCCGTCACCCCCACCGTCCCTGAGTGCGACTCATGATCACTGTCCATCCTCTTCATGTCCCTCCCCCTAGCCTGACCCTAAACCCCTAACGATCACCCTCCTACAGGCCAACTCACACTTAACCCTACAGAGTCTCACCACCAGGGGGTGCTGCAGCGCTGCCCAAAACACCTCCACCCTCAGCTATTTGTGATCCTTATCACAGGACACCCCTCTCCCCTCTCCAACATACCCAGAGGTTAGAGTTTACTGCAGCAGGGGCTGCCACACAGGCCTCTGCTTTTACGAGGAACCACGTGGTCAGGTGTCTGAGATGTTACAGTGGTGTGTATCTATTCCTAAAAAGGTTTTTCGAAATGTTTGCAAATGTATAAAAAATAAAAACAGACATAAGTATTCAGACCCTTTGCTATGACACTCGAAATTGAGCTCAGGTGCATCCTCTTTCCATTGATCGTCCTTGAGATGTTTCTACAACTTGATTGGAGTCCACCTGTGGTAAATTCAATTGATTGGACATGATTTGGAAAGGCACACACCTGTCTATATAAGGTCCCACAGTTGACAGTTAATGTCAGAGCAAAATCCAAGCCATGAGGTCGAAGGAATTGTAGAGCTCCGAGACAGGATTGTGTCGATGCACAGATCTGGGGAAGGGTACCAAAAATTGTATGCAGCATTGAAGGTCCCCAAGAATATAGTGGCCTCCATCATTCTTAAATGGAAGAAGTTTGGAACCACCAAGACTCTTCCTAGAGCTGGCTGCCCAGCCAAACTGAGCAATCAGGGGAGAAGGGCCTTGGGCAGGGAGGTGACCAAGAACCCGATGGTCACTCTTACAGAGCTCCAGAGTTCCTCTGTGGAGATGGGAGAACCTTCCAGAAGGACAACCATCTCTGCAGCACTCCACCAATCAGGCCTTTATAGTATAGCCAAGCGTCACGTCTGGAGGAAACCTGGCACCATCCCTACGGTGAAACATGGTGGTGGCAGCATCATGCTGTGGGGATGTTTTTCAGCGGCAGGGACTGGGAGACTAGTCAGAATCGAGGGAAAGATGAACGGAGCAAAGTACAGAAAGATCCTTGAGGAAAACCTCAGACTGGGGCGAAGGTTCACCTTCCAACAGGACAACGACCCTAAGCACACAGCCAAGACAACACAGGAGTGGCTTCGGGACAAGTCTCTGAATGTCCTTGAGTGGCCCAGCCAGAGCCCGGACTTGAACCCGATCGAACATCTCTGGAGAGACCTGAAAATAACTGTGCAGCGATGCTCCCCATCCAACCTGACAGAGCTTGAGAGGATCTGCAGAGAAGAATGGGAGAAACTCTCCAAATACAGGCGTGCCCAGCTTTTAGCGTCATACCCAAGGAGACTCGAGGCTGTAATCGCTGCCGAAGGTGCTTCAACAAAGTACTGAGTAAAGGGTCTGAATACTTATGTAAATGTGGTATTTCTGTTTTTAATTTTTAATACATTTGCAAAAATGTCTAAAAACCTGTTTTTGCTTTGTCATTATGGGGTATTGTGTGAAGATTGATGAGGGAAAAAACTATTCAATACATTTTAGAATAAGGCTGTAACGTAACGAAATGTGGAAAAAGTGAAAGGGTCTGAATACTTTCCGAATGCACTGTATATATTCGTATTTTAAGCTTTGCAGTCCTCCATATCAGTCCTCTATATCAAATAGAGTGTAGTAATGCTTTCCCTAGATTTTATGTAGAACATTTCCTTGTAATTTAGTGTGCCACTGAAGCACTTGAGCAGACCACTGCTCTTGACACACCTCCTTTCGCTGCAATGCTCTACTTGTTTCAGCTAAGTGTTTAGAGGCAGGAACAATATTGTTTGGCATTGGTTACAGTGCCAACTCCAGAGGGCTCTGTATATTTTGAAAGACTATGTGCAAGGCTGCTGTAAAGACACTGTCTTCATTGTCTATTTGCTAGCATTCATGCTAGGCTCTTCACATAAGCACCACTGTCTCATCTAGTGTCAGTCTCCTACTGTATCTTGTGTACTTTAAGCCAATACTGTCCTTGTTCATCATGTAGGAGTTATATATTGTGATACTTCAGGCCACGCATACAGTAGCTAGTGTCTTAGAAACTTCCGTACCTCCACCAAAGAGTCTGCATGTCGACTACGTTCTGTACATACACCATAGAGCGGAATTAACAGATCACCATCACTTTCAGAGCAGAAATCCAGGAAGAAACGCACTGTATAATGTGCTGCTATTGATGTAGAAGATGAAAGAGGACTTGTCCAGTCATTATAAATAGCACAGATGAAGAGTACAAAAGGAGTCCCTTCCGGGCACAAAACGTTTTTGATGATCTCATATTATGAGAAGTTTTTGCAATAAATTACTACCAAGCACATAAAAATGTATTGACATAACCTTGTTACAAATAATTCATCAGCACAAGAAAGATTGTAGTATGTATAGGCACAAATAGGAATGTATTACAGCAAATGTGATGATTAAGGAGCTTTGACCAAATCAGATCGAAGTCTGATTGTAAAGCAATCTCCATTTTACTGAGGAATATAAACCTTCCCATGGTTGATCCTCAAATCTCTATTTACTGATACTCATGAGCAGAACGGCAGTGCTTCATGTAAGTGTGTCTTAATTTAAACCATGAGCACAGTTCTCCATTGGACTATTTCAACCCTCTTACAGAAGTGAAGTATTAAAACCAGATAGAGAACTCACACAAGCATATATTGTTAGTTTAATATCTGCCAAGACCTTTTCCCACAAGTATTTACACACCTTCATCACACAGATAGCAAAGCTTTTACCGTACGTTGTTACCGTAACAAAAAAAAAGCACACCTGACAATCTGAAATGACAGGGAAGGAAGAAAATCCCCCCCAAAAAAGAAAATATATATAAAATCAACATGACCCATAAAGCAACATGACCCACTTGGTCTGTCACTCTTATCAATTGATTTACAGCTAGCTATGAAGTCAAAATGATTCCATTTAGCTAACTTTATTTTTTGAAGAGGATTCCTTTATTTAGATTTGTATCACAATGTTCAAAGCCATGCATGGTGTTGATGATTAAATTGACTATATTTATATTACTGTATAATATTCTATCTGTGTATGTTGGTGCGCATAATGTTTAAAGACTAATTACGATTTTATCTGTAAAGGTGACCAGTTGTATGTTTTCATCCTGTGTATATTTTATTGTATATTTGAAGATTTCTCTATTTTGTAGTTGGTATACCTTATCTATGACTATGGGACTGTAAAAGGAGTGGGAAGATGGGAGGGGGGTACAGTATGTTAACCTTGTGTGATCCCAATGTAGCCTCGTTTTGTGAACGTGTATTGTCGAACACTGACAAGCTGCATGTGCAGCACTCTGGTTCTGATGTGTTCCTCTCTCAGCTGCTTATAGAGAGGCGTGGCCCTCCAGATAAGAACACATGGATAAGCATATCGATGCAGTCACCAGTTTTTGCTTGAGGTTATAGTCAATATTTGTTTTAGTCATTGGCCTGGAGCCAGTCCCTCTTGTGATTGTACCATGTTGAAATCCCTCACTTTGAAAGTCTGTAAATATTCTTATGTCTGTAAGATTCTACAACAAATAATAATCAAATTATTCTAAAGATAGAGCAAAACTTGTGAAGTATATAAATGTCTTAACACTGCAGAACTGTTTTAATAAGAGTTCATGTGGAAGAAATTACTATTGAATGTGGTGAAAACTCCAAAAGAGTATTGTTATGTTTCTGTTTTTTTGTCTGCATATTGGTATGCTCAATGTTTGCCCAAGCTTCTGTACAGTCTGTGTTAAAGCATTATTGTACTATATTATCTGCTGGAGCAACAGTAGTGGGATGGGAGGCTAAAACCTCTGTAGGGAAAATGAGTTGAGGTTAGGAACTGCCCCTTTGTAGCTAAAGTGTTATAGTGACTCAACATAATATGAGTGTGTGAGTGTGGTTATGTGTATTTGTGTCTATGAATGTGTGTTAGTGAGTTTGTAGTTTCCTTCTGATAATAAGTGGGTGCAGGGCCTTACCAAGCACAAGTTGAACATTGAATCGGAGGCACCACCAGAACCTACTCTCTCTTCCATCATTATGATTGTACAGTATTGAAGCTACATGTGAAAAGAGTAAAGATATTTTTTGGATATCACCAAAAAGATAAATAAACCATAAACAACCTGTCAAGTGATTTGTGTTTAACTTTTAGGACAAGCTAGATATCTAGATAAGATACATGTAGTCTGGGTGGCCTGGAACACTGTGCTGTTCTGTTTACAAATGGGAGCATAAGGCTTCCTAGCATTACGCAGTTCAGCCATTTGGCACTCAACATATCCCACATTGGGACATAACCATGGTTGCAGCAGAACACATTCACACATGTCCTCACTCTCATTAAGTACTACATACTGTACACAGAGGAAAGTATTGTCATGGTCCACAAGGATCATAATTCATTCACATTTCAATTCAATGTAAATACGCCCTTTGTACAGATTTGTAAATCAATCACATGGAGAGGCCAACAGATGACACATATTTGTACAGAGCTGTTGTTATTCTGGCAGAGGAAATGGTGCTGTCCTCCCTCACTGTGGCGTCATAACGGATGTTTTGGCAGAGAACAGCTAAATGGCTTCTCAGAAGCCCATGTACAACCCTTCAACAAGATTGTGCAAGAGGACACATCAGAACACAGGCATTAGACATTTTTATTAGACTTGTTTTTACTCTGTTGTGTATTATTATAACAAACAGATATTGTGGTGATATTACGCTCTCAACCCAACTGTGACATATAATGATAAAATTACTTAACAGAAACTTAAAACTATAGAATATACAGTAACTATAATTGCATGTTTTAATTTGTAGTGTTAATATCGTTAGAGGTTTGAACGTTTTTATATAAAAAAATAATACATTTCATCTGTGTTTCCATTTCCCCCAATAAATCATCCATTTTGTTTTAAATATCAATGTGATTTCACACTCTCACCTAAACAGAACATAACAAATCATGAATAAGAAGTAACCAGGCAAGTACTGATAAAATTACAAAAATAGCATTGTTTCAGCTCATTCTTTCACATATCGAAAAAAAACATGTCTAAATCAATGCTAAATTCATGTAAAATAAATGAGTATAGCTGAACAAAAATATTAATGCAACATGCAACAATTTCAATGATTTTACTGAGTAACAGTAAATCAGTCATTTGAAATAAATTCATTAGGCCCTAATCTATGGATTTCACATGACTGGGCAGGGGCAAAGCCATGGGTGGGCCTGGGAGGGCATAGGCCACCCACTTGGGAGCCAGGCCTAGCCAATCCAAAATATTTTTTCCCCCACAAAAGGGCTTTATTGCAGACAGAAATACTCCTCAGTTTCATCAGCTGTCCGGGTGACTGGTCTCAGACGATCCCGCAGGTGAAGAAGCCAATGTGGAGATCCTGGGCTGGCGTGGTTACATGTGGTCTGCGGTTGTGAGGCCGGTTGGACGTACTGCCAAATTCTCTAAAACGACGTTGGAGATGGCTTATAGTAGAGAAATGAACATTAAATTCCCTAACAACAGCTCTGGTGGACATTCCTGCAGTCAGCATGCCAATTTCACTCTCCCTCAAAACATCTGTGGCATTGTGTTGTGTGACAAAACTGCACATTTTAGAGTGGCCTTTTATTGTCCCCAGCACAAGGTGCACCTGTGTAATGATCATGCTGTTTAATCAGCTTCTTGATATGCCACACGTGTCAGGTGAATGGATTATCTTGGCAAATGAGAAATGCTCACTAACAGGGATGTAAACAAATGTGTGTACAAAATTTGAGAGAAATAAGCTTTTTGTGCGTATGGAAAATATCTGGGCTCTTTCATTTCAGCTCATGAAACATGGGACCAACACTTCACATGTTGTGTTTATGTTTAAATTACTTGACTAAAACTTGAATATGATTACACACTCTACATGTCAGTAAAAGTATTGTATTTGGTTCAAAACATTCTCTTAAGACCTAAACCTCAACTGGAGTTGTGCATTAATGGTGTAACCATTGAGCAAGTTGAGGAAGCTAAACTCCTAGGTAACATGCGATGTTCAATTATAATGGTCAAGTCATATTGACAAAGTTGTTGTGAAGATGGGGAGGGTTATGTCTACTATAAAAAAAAAATCTGCATTTTCTTTACACAAAAATCAACTGTTCAGGCTCTGGTCTTGTTCCATCTTGATTACTGTCCGGTAATATGGTCAGGTGCAGCAAAGAAAGACCTAGCAAAGCTGCAGCTGGCTCAAAACAAAGCAGCACGCCTTACCCTTAACTGCACACACAGAACTAACATCAAGAACATGCATGCCAGTCTTTCCTGGTTGAAGATTGACGAGAGATGAACTGATTCTCTTCTATTCTCTATGAGAAATATTACTGTGATGAAAATTCCAGATTGTCTGCATAATCAAATAACATACAGCTCAGACACCCATACATACCCCACAAGACATGCCACCAGGGGTCTCTTCACAGTCCCCAAGTCCAAAACTAATTCACGGCAACGCACAGTATTATACAGAGCCATGACCGCATGGAACTCCCTTCCATCTCAATTACTCAAGCAAACAGCAAAATTACATAAAACAAATGGATAACATCTCATGGCACAATAGGGACTGTGAAATGACACACATACAAACACACGCACACTAACACACACAACCTACACCCACATTATTCTTTAGTTGTGTTGTTTGTACAATGAGTGTAGAAAACATTAAGAACCCCTGCTCTTTCCATGACATAGACTGACCAGGTGAATCCAGGTGAAAGCTATGATCACATATTGATGTAATTTGTTAAATCCACTTCAATCAGTGTAGATAAGGTTAAAGAAGGATTTTAAAGCCTTGAGACAATTGAGACATGGATTGTGTATTGAAGTCAACATGGGCCAGCATTCCTGTGGAACGCTTTTGACACCTTGCCCCGACGAAGTCCATGCCCAGACAAATTGAGGCTGTTCTGAGGGCAAAGGGTATCATTTTACATTTGTGTGACTCTTCTTGTCTATCAGTATATCAGTGTTTTGTTACTTGTCGTGTTTTATGTTTTTGAGTGGACCCCAGGAAGAATAGCTGCTGCTTCGGCAAAAGCTAATGGGGATCCGAATAAACCAATAAACCAATAATATGTAGTACTTTAAATACACACAAACAAATATTGTTATACCATGTGATGGGCTATAAAGATGATAAAATGTAACATGTTATAATGTTATTCATGGTATAACATAACTATAATGTCCCAATCCGGTGTAATGGTACAATCAGGATCCAGTCTTTACCTCCAGGGTCTCATAGTCAGACTTAGGCTGGGATTCAATTAAAGGCACGTTGGACTCTAAGAGGGAAAGAGAGAGAAAAATTGAGCTTGTTTTCTGAGCAACAAAAATAGGGATATTAATATAATCAAATATGAATATACAAATATTATAAAATACCTGAATAAGACCGCACCCCTGATTACAGGCATAATTCTGTCTGCTCTTGGGGATGGCTGGCTAAGCGCTCCAGACAGGGCAGGTGTTGCCTCTTCTTCTTCTTTGGGAGCTTTTGTTGGGCCATGGCCAGGGAGTAGTACAGGCGGAAGTTATTGACTATGACTGGGACAGGCATGGCTATGGTCAGAATACCTGCCAGAGCACACAGGGCTCCAATTACCATGCCGGAACAGGTCTCCGGGTACATGTCCCCATAGCCCAGGGTTGTCATGGTAACCACCGCCCACCAGAAGCTTATGGGGATGTTCTTAAAATTGGTGTGTGCAGCCAAAGTTGGGTCTTCAGGGTCACCATGTACTCGCTCTGCATAGAATTCCAGGGTGCTGAAAATTAGTATTCCAATTCCAAAGAGGACAGCGAGGAGGCAGAACTCTGGAACGCTGGCCTTTAGTGTGTAGACTAACACACGGATGCCCACCATGTGGCGCATCAGCTTAAAGATCCTCAGGATCCTCACAAAGCGCAGCACACGCAGGAAGCCCAGGGCTTTCCCACTCAGCCCCACCTCCAGGAAGAAGGGCAGGATGGCCACAAAGTCAATGATGTTCAGTATGTTCTTCACAAACACCAGTATGTTGGAGCAGCAGGTGAAACGTACCAGAAACTCAAATATGAACCACACCACACAGACGCCCTCCACCACGGTCAGAGCAGGTTCGGTCACTATCTCATAGTACGTCACCTCTTCGGTGTGGTTCCCATCTATGACCAGCTCTGTGCGGTTCTCTAACGTTTGGAAGCTCTGATGTGTCTCCAGACAGAAAGCTGTGATGGAAAGGAGGATGAAGAAGAGGGAAAGAAACGCAATGACCTGCAAATGACAAGAGGCATCATATGACTGAGTGGATCATCTCATAATGATTAAAGACACAAACAACACACTCATTTATTTGTCTTTGCAGTTTGATTGACGTGTTGGATATACAATGGTACTGTATAAAAAAGGCTGTTGGTCGGTGAGATTATTAGGCTTGTGTGCTGTCTCCTAAACTGGCTCAATCCCATGGTCGCTGTTTCATATGGAGCCACATTACCTTCCGTTTGGGTGACATGACTCAATGGGAGTTACATGACTGAACCATTCAAGGGACTCTGAGGGTGAATCTCAATTGAATTTTTTATTCCTCACATCTTCTCTGCCCATCTCCTTATCAAAGCACATCGGAGCAGAAGATCTGAAGTTCCTGCACTCTAATCTTCTCTGTTTTAAGAAGGAGGAAAGGAAAACGTATGTAAGATATCAAGAAGATAGAATTTAGATTCACCCTGAAGCTTCAATTCTGGTGAAGCTGCTTTTATTATTACAGTCCTAGCCTATGGAACAGCCTACCTGAGAATCTGAGGGTAGTAGAAACAGTGGATTTTTAATTTATTTTTGCACACACCTTTTAGCCTTTACTTATTTGTAAAATGTGGTTTATACTTCTACCTTTTGTACTCGTTTTTATTGCCCTTTATTGTCTGTGATTACTTTTATTTATCTCTTATTCCTTTTTGTTTTCTATTTTTATTTGTGAAGTGCATTGTGTTGCTGCAAGGCAGCAATGAAATGTACTATAGAAATATGTTTGATTTTATTTGATTTTGTTCTTGTGGTCTCCGGCATTTTCCATTTAATTAATGGAGTGGTTGCGGTTCCGGATTTTTTGGAAACCTGATTTGCCATGGCTAAATACATGGAGATTTCTGTGCATGTGCAATATATATTTTTTTTTTGAGTAGCTGCTGCCCAGTGCTCCGCTGCCGCTTCCCCCTCCTTGAACACCTTTGCCTGGGGTGTAGCCTACAAATCTTATGTTGAACACAAAGGGCATGGTTGACATGTTCCAACTATTTATTGCATTCCATGCCTCAGTAGGCTATTAAGCATATGCACGATTTCATGTTATTTTTTCAGGAGGGGAATTAGGCTACATGCAGCTATTTACATATTGTACACAAAAGACGATTAAACATGTTCGTAAAAACTTGCAGATAGTTTTTTGCCCCAAGGCAAAACTCAAGTGGGGAGTTACATGCAGCTATTTAGGTAGCATATCAAACACAAGCAAGACACAGAGATACAGTCTAATTAGCAATTTAATGTTATCTTTTAATCATCATTGCAAACATTGGCTAAGCAGGAGGCGGACAGGCAGTCAAAGTTCTATTTCAGCAACTCTGGCCAGTGGCAACGATATGGCAGCAACTACAAAGATTAGCCTACATCATCTCACAAAACGCAGATAGTTTTTGCTCCAATGCAACATGTATGTACGCTGTCCTGCTTGTGGAACTGCAATATCCATTCCAACAGACAGAGAAGGTTGTAGCCTTCATAATGGCCTTGAATGTTAGTTCAAATCACAGCAAGGTTTTTATTTCAGCTGTTCAGAAATATGAGGTAGTGACATAGACTACATCATCATGGTTCAGAAGAGGGTGAGTAATGAGAGAAATGTGAAGGGACTGGTGGCAAGTGAGCTGCAACTAAATAGGAAAAAATGTGTGCGTAAAATAACACATGCGCAGAACGTGATCCGGATCCATAGCTTTGAGAAAGCGGTTTCCAGAGGGGCAGAGCAGGGGCAAAACTCAATATTCACAGCCACAGCCTTTAAAGGGGTGTGATATATCAGACATGCTTCAGGCTATCAGAGCTGCTTCCACGTGCTTCTCCAAGCCATTGCAAGTGTTTATTTTTCTTAAAAATGAGTGACTCCGTTTCAATGCTGTGATCCGTTTCTATGCCTGCTGCCTGCTCTGGACAGTCATTAGAGCTGTTTGGTTTATGGAAAAGCCATATGGTTTTTAACTGCAGTAAACAGAGCCAGCCTGCTACCATACCACCTTCTCCACAGCATGGTAGGAATGCCCAGAGGGAATTGCCAGCCTCACACTGACTAGCCTGATTTTTCATTGGGAGAGAATAAAGAATACAAACCTTGGCAGCCTTAGACGAGAACGGGTCATCAAATAAAGACCATATTTTCGGTTTCCACCTTTTGAAGCAGCTCTGAGAATTATCTGGGTTGTCCTCAATATCGAATGGCTCTGGAAACTCTTCATTGTGGTGCACATTTGAGTCAGATGGTCCGAACGCTGCAAGGGCCTCTTCGGCGTCCCTATGTTGGCAGAATGTTATCCAGCAACAAGGTTCCACGTCCACCTCGTCGACCCCCCAAAAAGCCAACTCCTCTTCAAAAAGGGGACCGCAGACATCTTTTGGACAGTGAAGCTTACCAGTTCTGTAGTAATTCAGAACATTGGAGAAAACACCTGGATGTCTGTCAAAGAATATTTCAGGGTCACCACTGGGGTCATGGTCCATCAGTTTAGCCAAACGGGTACCAGGCAAGCTCTTGAGAGTGCCCATGTAAGTTTCATGACGCATGCCACCAACGTTGATCACAACCTTTTTTGTGACATCCCCTTTTTTGTCCCAGTCTTCCCTTAGACATGTTTTCGACGACGTCCTGTCGTGGCCATGGGCTGAAGTATGGCCCTGAGAGGACACACACATTGAGCTGATCATGACTTGGAGTGGAGAGAATAGCACTTCCAGGAATGTTGTTTAGCCTACGGTCCTCATCTGTGGCAACATTTTTTGAAGAGATTTAAAAGGTTTCTCAGGCCCAGGGGTAAAGAAAAACAGCATTAAGGCAGGCTATCATCTCTCTCCTTTGGTAGTTCAGTTTGGGAAGAAATCATGGTCTTTCCTTCTATTTATTGCTTCAGAGCAGTCTCTCCCTGTAGGCCACCCCCTTTCTGCATTCCAAAGTTTTTGTCCACTTCTGTCAGTCAGGGCAACCTGGTCTCCGAGCATTTCGTATTATTCTGTAAGTAAATCCGAGATACTCCATTTAGTATGATATGTTACATTTCGTATGGTATGTATTAATTTGTGGATGTCCATCACCCATTTCATATGATATTTTACTAATAAAAATGTGTATTATATGTTACGAATTTGTAAAATGTATGATATGTTGCGAATTCCAACTAGGTGGCTAAAGTTAGCTAGCTGGCTAATGTCAGCTAGGCTAGGGGTTAGGGTTAGGTTTAGGAGTTAGGTTAAAGGGTTAAGGTCAGGGCTAGGGTTAGGGTTAGCTAAAAGAGTTAAGGTTAGGGGATGACATTCGAAACTCGCAACCTTTGGGTTGCTAGACGTTCGTGTTATACACCCACCCTGACTAACCACCCTACTTTTCTTTTTGCCTTAAGTAACCATCTGTCTTATGTAACCATACCAAACATAACATACTAACTTGAGTACATATCATTCATTTAGTATGTTACGTCTAGTCTATGAAACCAGGCTGGTTAGGGGTACAGCTTAATTTTAGCCTATTGCTAAGTTTTTTTACATCTTAAAGTTGATATCAATAGATTTCAAAATAGGTAAGACATCCAAACACACATCTGTGGCAAAGAACAACCTCACAATATGTAAGACAGTTTTAAGACAGTTTCTCCATCAGTGAACAACTGCGGTCACTGTCACCTTTACTGTAAGGATTAACTAATAGAAAATTAATTGAAGTGTAAATTGTTAACTAACTCTTCACATTCTTTGATCCTCAACATTGACTTGGTTCAGCCCCAAGTGCAAATGTAAAGCAGTATCTATTGGGCTAATGACCTCCTCGTGTCATCCTGCTGTGTAAGGGACATGACACTGCCCTCTAGTGTGTTTCCAAGAGAAATAGTCAGAGAAAGTATGACATAAAAGCTGTATAATAACCAACACTTTTGCACTTTATTTACATATTTAAAACAACCATTTTTTTTTTTTTTATGAAAAACGATGTTTCCGTAGATATTACAAATAAGTCAATATTACAAATGTAAAGAAGGTAACCATGAAACCATTTAGAGGTTTACAAGCTAGTTAGACAATAAGATTCCCCAAAACCTAAACAGCAATCTAAAACCTTTCAACTGTTCTCCGGGATGTACAGTGCAGTCGGAAAGTATTCAGACCCCTTCACTTTTTCCATATTTTGTTACGTTACAGCCTTATTCTAAAATTGATGAAATTGTTTTTTTTTCCTCAATCTACACACAATACTCAATATTGACAAAGCAAAAACAGGTTTGTAGATTTTTTTGCAAACTTATAAAACAAAACAACTGAAATAACACATTTACATAAGTATTCAGACCCTTTACTCAGTACCTTGTTGAAGCACCTTTGGCAGCGATTACAGCCTTGAGTCTTCTTGGGTATGACGCTACAAGCTTGGCACACCTTTATTTGGGGAGTTTCTCCCATTCTTCTCTGCAGATACTCTCAAGCTCTGTCAGGTTGGATGGGGAGCGTCACTGCACAGCTATTTTCAGGACTCTCCAGAGAGGTTTGATTGGGTTCAAGTCCGGGCTCTGGCTGGGCCACTCAAGGACATTCAGAGACTTGTCCCGAAGCCACTCCAGCATTGTCTTGGCTGTGTGCTTAGGGTCGTTATCCTGTTGGAAGGTGAACCTTCGCCCCAGTCTGAGGTCCTGAGTGCTCTGGAGAAGGTTTTCATCAAGGATCTCTCTGTACTTTGCTCTGTTCATCTTTCCCTCAATCCTGACTAGTCTCCCAGTCCCTGCCGCTGAAAAACATCCCCACAGCATGATGCTGCCACCACCATGCTTCACCGTAGGGATGGTATTGGCCAGGTGATGAGCGGTGCCTGGTTTCCGCCAGACGTGTCGCTGGCATTCAGGCCAAAGAGTTCAATCTTGGTTTCATCAGACCAGAGAATCTT